TAATAAATATTAAATAATATTTTTACATTTCTAGTTGGTGTCGTTACAGAGACAGGTAGTTTGTGAAAGGTGGTCGTCGGTCGACATGTACAAAAATTACAAAGTTCACTTTTCTTTTTAAATGTAAGATAAAATGTGTACTCGCTAAAATCGATGGATCAAATTAAGAAGTTAGTTAGGCGATGGTTACAGTGTAAGAACGCGGAAAAAACGTAGGGATCATTTTTTAAAACACGTCAAAAATCAACTTACATTTCGTTGTGAGATTTTAATAGAATTATTATAGTTCTTTATTAATTACGAAAAGACAAAAACATTATAGTCACTTTTAGTAAAATACGACTACTGATTAAGACCCGAGTTCATAATCAATACTACAGTTCTTATAGTTATTCTGGTCTAAAGTTTTTCCAATCTTATAACATATTTTTGTTAAAAAAATATAGAAACATCGCTAGAAGTATATGGAAAATCTCGTACAAAAAAAAGTTTAACTTGTCTTTTTACTAAATAAAGACAAAAGTTAAATTGTTTTTGTACGAGACTATAGACCTCTTCATTAGAAACGCTTTGATACTCGAGTGAACATAAATTTGAGTATAACAACAATTTGAAAATCTTTATACAGCAGATGAATTTTTCTATGTAATTGTACAGCTTGAGATTTTTAACATGCATGTTATTATTATTATTATTATTACTACTACTACTTAGGTATCTTTAATTTTTTATAATATTCCATCAAGTGATCGATTGTAATTTTTAGGCAGTTTCGCCCTTGGGAAAAAATTATTTAAAATAACAACGAAAAATGTGTGTGTAGTGTATACTTAATAAAACAGTAGCAATGAATAATCGACGTAGGGTAAAATAAGACTTTCGATCGAGGGCTGTGTCTTTCATTCTTTTATACTTTAATGCGCATATTTAAAGAAACGACCAATTAAAAGCGTGCCATGTTTTTTTTTAAATGTACATAAATTTTTTCATTTTAACGTCGTCGTCATTGTTGTCGTCGTTGATGTAACTAGTTATGGCAGTATAAAAACATGCACGCAACCACAGATTTTTATTATGTTTTAGACGAAATAAATCGTCTTTGTAAAAATGTACTTACAATTACCACGTTTTTATAAATTAATTGTAAATTATTTTGTGTTATACCAGAAAAATTAATAAATAAAATAAGGGTTAAATTTGTACTATACGATATTATNAAAAAAAAAAAAAAAATGATTCCCCAACAGTTACGCGAGAGCGAAGGAGCATGGCGTGCGGACTGTGGCGAGCCCTGTCCAGGCGACGTCAGGATGACATGGTGGAGAGCAAAAGCGAGCTCGCCCGGGTGCTCGGGCTCTTCGACCTGACAGCCCTAGGGGTCGGCTCGACTCTCGGGCTCGGGGTGTACGTGCTGGCGGGCAGCGTCGCTAAAAACACCACCGGACCTTCCGTCTGCATATCTTTTGCCATTGCCGCGGTCGCCTCGGCTTTTGCGGGTGAGACTTTTCTGCTTTTTCTCTCTTTTCCTTTCTTTATTATATATATTTTCACTCTTTGTTTTATTCCTTTGAATACTCGGCATTTTTGTAGTATCTCATATTGGGGAGTAAACAATACCAATTCATAATATACAATTCATTTAATGTTGCTTCGAATTTTTATATATATATATATATATATCTTTACGAAAATATGTAA